ATATGTATATATTTATATATTATATATCCAAATTTAAACCATGAGGCGTGTACGCGATCGGATTGTAGTTTTGGTGGAGAGTACGCAGCGTTATCTGAACGATGCTGTCGACCTCGGCCATGCCACCGATGCCCGTGTCCCCGCACATGAGCTTCTTGGAGATGCATGACACTTCCTTGTAGCCCCAGGATTTTAATTGTTTTACCTGGTTGTTTGTTGAACATAAAACAATTAGTTTTAAAGCCGAAATCATACGAGAATCGTCAAAATAGTTTGTTTTGTAACGAAATACTTATTTTATACGAAAATATTTAAATGGGACGAGGATGAATGTAACTATAATAATTTTGGTACATTGTATATTTTAAGCAAATAAAGGATTGAAAACATTAACGTTTACTGCAACTGTATTAAATTTCATCTCCATTCACTTACACTTTTTGTACTCCAATGCAACACAACTATTTGAATTGATTGGTTATTAATGAAATAATTACAGAGCTTTTGCTTGTGTAAGGCCAAAAAAAATTGGATTCTGTTTGGAATAACAAAATAAGTATATAAAAAGCGCAAAAGAAAGCATATAGATACCTGGGTTTCCGTAATGGGATGTTCCCACATTCTGGTGTTCATGGCTGGGCAAAAGAGTAGTGGCTTGGAGGTGTCCCAGGCCCTTGCGACACACGTCAGTATATTATCACAGATGCCTGAAGCCATCTTGCCCAACGTATTGGCGTCTAACGGTGCGATAAGAAAGATATCCGCCCACTTGACTAGATCGATGTGGAGCACAGGGTCACCCCGGCCCTGCCAGGCGGCCCACTCAACCGTGTCCGATAGTACCTGACAATCGGATGGTAGTTCGGCTTCCTTCAGAAAATGCTTAGACCTCTCCGTGACAACAAGACGTACGTCCGCTCCACGCTGAATTAGCTTGGTCACCAGCTGCGGCACTTTTATCGTTGCCACGCTGCCCGTGCAGCCTATTAGTACACGCTTTTTCAATCGCTCATCTTCCAATCTATCCATGCAGCGGGATGACGGCCTATGACTGTGATACATGTCGCTCATATTTGTTTTTTTTTTTTTTTTTTTCCTTTGTTAAAAATCAATATTCTACTTTAAGTCGCGGCTTTTTGCGATAACTTTATTTACAATATTTAGTTTAACTAGTGAGTTGCCTTTTTTTTTAACCTTCTGGTTTTATTAACAATAGGACAAGTGAAGTATATTTTGTACTCAATACTTGACTCAGCTTTATTTCATGTACGTATATTTCTATATAAACTACCGCGTTCGACCATCTATAGCCGATGTTCTACACAGTTGCGCTACACAGCATTGATTTTCGAACTTGACAAAAAGAAGTGACTCATTGATACAACTAGGCCGTTGGATAGTATTGTTTTTCTTCTCTTTCGTTACGTATAAGTCTTTGTATTTTGGCTTTTTTTTTTTTTTTTTTTTTTTTTATCAAACCAACTACTTAGTACTTTCAGTGCGAAAAAGCATCAGAGTTTTACACAGCTGTCTCGTTAACTGATCATAACCGATAGCAGCGTATACATTATATGTGCTCCAATCGTCGTATTTAATCACGTATAGCGTCGCGACGGCGCCGTCCTCTATAAATTAGGTCGCAACAATCGCCGGTCCCCGCAACTTGTCATCCGAGGCTTTTTTTATTTTTTTTTTTTTTTTTTGATTGTGAAAGCTGCAACTCAAAGAATGCTGTAGCCACTGAAAAAATGAATTTATACTTTTTTAATTACTCTCACACAACTGCAGAAGCTGTTAGTAAGTCATTTAATATGAAATTAAAGATTTATTTGAGCTTAAGTTACCTAACAGTTTGATGACAAGTGCAACCCTAAAAATAATGTTTACAGGTACTATATAGCTTACAGGTAAAGAATTATACAAACAATACAAGAGAATCGTTTGTTTAGCAATACAATCAACTGCTAAAAAGAACTACGGAAAAACAGCGAAGGAAGAACGCATTCTAGACATACAAAAAGTAGAAGAATTGTGTAAAAATTGGCAAGTTTCCTTTTGTAGATATGTAGTCAATAAAATGAATGTGAAAGTGGTTGTCAGCAACCAACAAAATATCTCGTTTATCAATCAAAGTAACTTGATTTCATTTTTATTTTTTTTTTAATTTTCGATTTAAAACTCATCAAATTATTTTAAAACAATAATTTATATTTTGTATAACTGTTCAGATTAAACTTGTAACTGTTTTCTAGATGTAATGGGCTAAAAAACGGATTTTAAAAATATTGCATGCATGACTCATTATTCGCAAGAAAGAACGTGTAGCTACTAATTTTAAATACTGTTTGTTCAGTAAGTAAATGTTTAAGAGAAATATTTATGAATAAATACTGCTTCAAATTTGAAAATAGAGCATGACTGTATTTCAATAGAAATCTAAAACTGCCAATATTTCGA